GGACAACAAAGGGGACAACAAAGGGGACAACAAAGCTTGTGACAGTGAAATAGAGGATGTCTCTAACAATAATCCTTTCGAGACTTTCAACGTATTACCTGAATCTGATATTGATGAAGAAGAAAAGATTAGGAATGAAAGGATTAAAGGATTATTGAGAGCAAATGTGAAGTTTGCTAAAGATGGGAGTGCATTGGAGCCACAACCAAATCCTCATGTTTTTCCTATTATTGGAGAGAACGGGCTGAGATGTATGAGGAAGAACTGTGTACCCTCTGTTGCAATATATGATCCTTTCCCCCTGTTGATCCGGCCAGATTGGAGAGATTATTGGAACACTTAAGTCAACACAAGTAAGTCCTTGTACCTATTGACATGTTGATTACTACTTCTTTACCCCCCTTTTATGTATATTAAAGTGTGTTGTTTGTTAGGGATACTCCATATGGCAAGGCAGTCCCTGAAATCGAATTCTACAAGAGACTCATCACTGAAAGAAAGGATTGGCCAGCTACGGACAATAAGTATGGCTGGCTGTGGGACGATGTAAGTTTTACACTTTTTTGTTGTGACTGAGTTATCATTCAGTTTTACACTTTTTTGTTGTGACTGAGTTATCATTCAGCTTGATGGCTGAGTTATGACTGCGTTATGGCTGAGTTATGGCTGAGTTATGGCTGCGTTATGGCTGAGTTATGGCTGAGTTATATATTAGTTATGGCTGAGCTATGACTGAGTTATGATTGAATTATGGCTGAGTTATATATTAGTTATGGCTGAGTTATATTTATCATACCTTATGGTTTTTTACAGCATGTGAGTGCGTTTATGAGACTGCTCAGGAAACGGTTCCTTGAAGACCCCTGCCCATTCCACACCAAACGTATTGCGTTTTTAGACCCGTGGTTTACTGCTTTACTCATACATGAGTATAATAAAACATTCAAGGAAAGACCACAAAGGTTTAAACTCGATGGTGGACCCCTATGAGCGGGTTATTAACGGGAAAATGCCTGAAGATCAGCCCACTGGTCTGAAGTGGATAGAAGATGTGGACAAACTGTATCTTGTTATACAAGCCGGAGGTGATCACTGGATTACGCTAGAAGCTGACCTGACAAGGAGCCATATCGATGTCTATGACAGCATTGTGGGACAGGTAACACCTGAAAGTGAAGCAAAAATCATGAAGTGTGTTAAGCCGTTTGCGCAGATGCTTCCAGCAATGCTCAACGCATTAGTCCCTGCTGAAATTCGTCCACATAGTAAGGCGATGTTTTCCTTCAGAAGGAAGAGTATATCCAAGGTCCCTCAAAACCTAAAACCCGGGGACTGTGGCGTGTACTCTCTCAAATATGTGGAATGCCTAGCACTTGATGTTAGTTTCGATGGCCTCTGTGATGAAAATATCCAAGGTATACGGCTGAAGATGGCAGCAGACATTTTCGATGAGGCAGCGGATTACCTAAACCAATTTCAGTATTATTATGTTTTAGTAGACTTATTATGATAATATGTAAATTATTGGAATCTCAAACATCATGGCTCATTTCTGGATTTGTAATGACTGAGTTATAGTTATGTTTATGGCTAAGTTATGGTTTGTTATGGCTGAGATCCGAATGACGGTTGAACTCAACAATAATCAAGCAAATTAAATTCAACAATAAACTTAACATTATAGTAATGGCTGAGTTATATTTTAGTTATGGCTGAGTTATGGCTGATATATGGTCTTGTTATGGCTAAGTTATGGTCCTGTTATGGCTGAGATCCGAAAGACAAATTAAACTCAATAATAATCAAGCATTTTAAATGCAACAATAAACTTAACATTATGGTATTAGAATATATAAAAAGTATCTTTAATGTAAAAGATAAAATTCAGACTAATATAAAAGATAAAATTGTATTACATTAGGGTATTACAAGATAGAATGGAGAACCATTACTAGGATTTATCTCTTTGTTGGATACATAAGTCTTAAAAGGTATAAACAAGAGCTAATTTAATTATATTCATTTTTACAGTGGATAAAAACCTTAAATTCGTCTTATCTAAGTGTTCTAATAACATGAATGTATAAAAAATCTTATATTTCAAATTCGAGGTTTGGCTGAGTTATAGATATGTTACACCTGAGTTACACATAACATTACGGCTGAGTTATAGATATGTTATGGCGGAGTTATGTTTTTGATATTCAAATTCGAGGTTTGGCCGAGTTAAGCCACAGACAGATTTTGAGGTTTGGCTGAGTTATACTAAATTAAATTCGTGGTTTGGCCGATTTAATTCTGCACGACGTCGTTTACTTCTTTCTTCTCCCTTATAAACATAATCGAGAAATCAGATTGGGGATTTAGGGTTCTTATCGATTTCTGGGATTGCCTCCTCTCTCTGGGTTTATCTTTGATTTTTGGGTTCCAGTTCTCAATTTTTAATAATGAGCGACTACTCTTCAAGTTCATATCGTTCAGCACATGGTGCTTATCCTCCAGATCTTCCGACGAACTGCGGATGTTGGTGTGGTAACGATATCTTCACATACGTATCGAAGACAAAGGAAAACCCTTACCGTATCTTCTATAGATGCTCGATTGCTTTGAAGGTAATAATTAGTTTTTAATTGTTTATTGTTAACATATGGGTATCGATGTTGGTTTTTGTTAATTAGAGGCCGAATGAGTCGCATTTCTTCAAATGGGTTGATGAGGCATCAGTTGAAGAAATTAAGATGGTCGACGCAAAGGTAAAGAGAATAGAAGAAGATGTGACGGACTTAAGGCATCAACATACTCAAAATTTAGATCTCCAAAAAGAAATGTTTGACAAGCTTGAGGAAGAACTAGGTAAGAAGCTTGTGGAAAAATTGATGAAGAAGATTGAGGATGATATGGGTAAAAACAGCTTTGAAGACAATTACTCTACTCTTTGTAATAGGAATCGCAATTGTTTGGCTATGGGAGAAAATATAATTGTTGTTTCATTCATGTTTCATGATGTTTAGACTGATTATGTTGTAATTTGTGTTGTTTAACCATCAATTTTAAGAGTTCTTTTCGTGTTAAATGAGAAATGGGGTATGGCTGACTTATGATTATGTTACGGCTGAGTTAATGTGTTCAAGTTACGGCTGAGTTATGAGTATAATTATAATTTTAGCAATTAAATAAGTATATAATGGATATGACATATAATTAATATATATTTACAGCAAATATGCATGTTAAGATTGTTAATTTTGAAAAGAAAATGGAAAATTTACACAATTTCATCCAATCTTCAAATTATGTAGTGTTGGTTATGACTAGAAACTAGTTTTTGTGTGATAGTTTTTGAAATGTTACCAACAAAATCTAAATTATTGATGAACAATATGGTAACATGATTGTATCATATTTAAACCTAGTATTTATTTGATTTCATAACTTGATTATAACTAGAAATTGACATAACGCATATTTAGGGTATGGTTGACTTATACTACGTTATGGCTAAGTTATCGTTAACATTACGGCTGAGTTATCAATAACCTAGTATTTATGTGATTTCATAACTTGATTATAACTAGAAATTGACATAACGCATATTTAGGGTATGACTGACTTATACTACGTTATGGCTTAGTTATCGATAACATTACGGCTGAGTTATCAATAACCTAGTATTTACGTGATTCCATAAATTGATTATAACTAGAAATTGACATAACGCATATTTAGGATATGGCTGACTTATCGATAACATAACGGCTGAGTTATATGGCTGTTAAAATTGCTAAAATGAAGAAAAAAGGAAACAACATGATTCAAAAGAAAAGATATTTGTTTGGGATTACAAAGAAGTTCAAAAAGAAGTTCAGAAAGAAGAAACAACATTCAAAAGCAAAGAACTTGTGAACACATAGGAAACAACATTGAAAACATTCATAGCAAATAACTGTTGGAATTCAGCAACAATATTCCCAGTAGAGATCGTCTGCACCAAGTTGTTGAAACATATGGACAATTTTCTCCCAAACCATTGGATGCAACCACTCGGCTTATCGTAACCTCTGATCCATATCTTCCTCAGCCCACGCATCTGCCACATGAAAATTGAACTCGCATCTTCATTAAAGTGTTTCCAAATGATTAACGTTTGCCTTGGATCCCAGTTGTATTGGCGCTACATACAAGAAACAAAAATTAGGCGAAGAGAAAAGAACCATATGAATGAAAATGCTTTAAACGTGGTGCTTACCAGTAGCATCTTAAACCAATGTATCTTGATGCGGGCGGGAATCAAGCGATAAGTCGGCCAGTCGTGGTGCGTGTTCTGACGAATTATAGCCATTATTTTATAGAACTCTCTCCATCTCGATGTTTTTTTGTCAACGTAAGCATCATATAAACCCGGACCATGGTATAGAACGGGAAGATCATCCCGACCAGGTCCGGCAAGAATCGCGTGAATCTCTGTAAGAGCATGTCCTGGCATATGAGGATTGACTTCCATATTGATGAAAGATGAAATGAATGGGAAAAAGATTTATGGTATAAGAAAACTGATATATAAAGGGATCAGATGAAAGAGAGAAAGGAAGAAGACGAAAAGTTGCGTTGGTTAATGTGATGGCTGAGTTAATGTGCGGGAAACGAAGACGAAAGGTCGCGTTACGGCTGAGTTATCTGTAACCTTATTGGGCTGAGATATCAGTAACTTATTGGGCTGAGTTATCAATAAACTAATATGGCTGAGTTATCAGTAACATGAATATATTCTGTATGATAATTCATGTTATGGATGAGTTATCATATTAAAGAAGACGAAAGGTCGCGTTATGGCTGGGTTATCGTACGGGAGAAAGACGAAAGGTCGCGTTACAGCTGAGTTAAATATATGTTACGGCTGAGTTATCATAAGGGCTTAGTCTAGAAATATGGATTACATAAAACAAACATTGTCTACACATAATCAAAACGAGAAAATCCATGCCAACAACATACCAATGATACTACTTCCGGCAAGTTTTTTCATTATGCCCAACTTCTTTACATCGAGAACATGCGTGTGGCTTCCTCAGGCGTTTATTCTGAAGTGCAATTTCCACAGTTGATTTAATCCTGCTTTTCTTCGGCCTTCCTGGCTGGGTTGCAATGTTCAGAGGCACGCACGGTTGGTTAGTTACAATTTCAGGAACAGTGAGTGCAATATCTGTAGGTGAGATTGAATCAGCGTACGCGTTAACCAAATAATTGCTCCGGTAGGTCAGATCGACCAGGGAAATATGAGACACACCCATATGCTCTGCAGCTGCGATTGCATGGACGCATGGTATTTTCTCCTGCTCGAAACGGCGGCATGTGCATCTTTTTGCATCCAAATTTACAACATGCAAAGATGTTCCATATTGTACTTGTACACGTAAAGCATCAATCGGTTGTACTTCAAAAAGTCTTGATGCAGTTACACGACCCTATTAGAGGGAAGAACAAGAGATAAAAGTTACGGCTGAGTTATATAAATAACGACTGAGTTATAATCATGTTATGGCTTAGTTATATAAATAACGACTGAGTTATGGCTTAGTTATATAAATAACGACTGAGTTATAATCATGTTATGGCTAAGTTATATAAATAACGACTGAGTTATAAGCAAGTTATGGCTCACTTATGTAACGTGATCGGCTCAGTTACCTCTAACAGTTTTTCAACACCTCGTGAGAGCGTTGTTAGCTGTGATTTTGCATCCTCTCTCCGTTCAGCAAACCATCTAGTCATCATATTCCGTATGGATTCTAACAGTTGAACTATGGGAAGACTTCTACTATTTGATAGTGCTTTGTTCATAGATTCCGCAATGTTCGAAGTCATTAGGTTGTACCTTTCACCCGGGAAATGAACGCGCGCCCACATTTGCACCCCAGCTCTTTGGAGATATCCATGTAGTCCAGGATGAAGCGCTTCAATCTCATTGAATGCTGAAACAGGTATTTTTGTACCCTTGGAGTTCAATTCCCCAATGCGATGTAGCATAAGAGGTATCGATCCAAATGGATGTATTGAAATCATTCAGGATATAGCAGAACTAATCAAGTCAAGCCAAGTAATTTAAGGTTTGGTTTAAAGAACTCTAATGCATAAAAGTAAACTAAAGAAACAATAAAGAAAGCAATAAGTAAAAGCAGATAATCAATCAAATAAACAAAGGGTCTTAAGAATGGGCTAATGGGGTTATGAATCCTCTTAGTATCTTCGGGATGCTTAACATGCTCAGATAGATCTATTCTTAGACAATGAACCACTTAACCTAATCTGTCCAATCTCTTGGCAAAGATTATCAGATCTATAGCACTTCCTAATCTCAACTTTCATTGATGAAACATACTATAAATAGGCATAAAGAACAAGCTCATTAATGTCAATCTACTCCTTAACAACCAATCTCTTGGGTAAGCAAATAGATCTCTGGCATTAGTTGATCAGACATTCCATTTGAACACTTTTTGAGTGCTTGAATGTCTAAGATCTAATCCCACATGGTTAATGCTAAGATAGCATTAAGATCTCCTAATCCAGAAGGTATCTACCTAAATCTAAACTTAAGCAACCCTAGAAACTAAGATTCCTCATCACCTAACCCATCCTCTAAACCCTAGAAAAACTACTCAGATCTGGAGTTCATCATGAAGAACACAAACCCAGAAATCTTTGAATCTTGCATAACTAAATAGATAATGATCTAAGGAGCAAGATATTGTAAAGAAACAACTCCAAATTCTCAATAGATCAAAAGATATAAATATTACAAGTTTCTGGAAATGTTTTGGTGGCTACAGAGAAAAACCCTAATGAAAACTCGTCTCTCTTTAAATGACCTAAGAGGTCTATTTATACTAAAGGCAGGAAGCCCTAAAACACAAAAAGACAAATTAAAAAGTCGGTTTAAAGAGAGCTCAGTCGGGTGCTTGTTGGGCTCGTTCGGGTCCTCTCTCGGCTCGTCCGTGTTCAGCTTCCTCTTGTGAGTCCGGGTGTTTGATAGTGCTCGCTTGGTCGGGCTGGACACACACGATTGGGTCCATACTTTGCAGTGTCCGAGTGTACCTGGTTTTGCTCTAAAATGCAGATGATATGCAAATCCCTATGCTAAAGATCCTAGATGCGAAATATAATGCAAAGAGACTAGAGATCCTAAGAAGTAGAGATCTAGACATGCAAATAATGCACAAAACATATGCTTAAGAGTATAAAAATAAAGGGTTATTAACTCCCCCAAACTTATTCTTTGCTTGGCCTCAAGCAAATTCAAAGTAGGGAGAGAGGTTTGAAGGTGAGGACTCAGAACCAAAACTTGCTGCAAAAGAGTTTAACATCAATGTCCTAGTTCGTAATTCTAGAATGCAATTCAAAGGCTGTACTCTGAAGACTTTAGCCATTCCTATTTCAACATAGGATGTCATCAGCCACATAACCTAGACAAGCAATCAAGTCAGCCATCCTTTTAAACATTCATTAAGTAGCAACAGTGAATCTGGATGTTAATTTGAATTTAAACTCATTTGGCTAGGCAAGTAAAAGGTTAAGAGATAAAGAGAGTCTCTTTTTGGTGAGGGTTTAATTGTTCAAGTGCTGGGATCTCTCTTTGAACAAGATTGAGCTTTTGGGAGAATGCTAAAGGTAAGGACCAACAAATGCATATAGGAATAACATCTTGACTACCCAAAGTACCCAAGTGATATCCTAATAGTCTAAACCCATATGATCATATTCTACCCTTTAACTCTTTTCATCTCAATTTCCCTTTTTGTTCTAAGTCTTAGGAGAGTTTCTTATGATAAACTAGTGGATAGGGGGTTTTCTTTATAAACACTATGATTCTATTTCTTCTTAACACCTAAGGCATCAAAGCATTTTGCTATCTTCACACTTTTCTCTCTTTCTTTTAAAAACCAGAACAATTTCTTTTCTACTTATCTTTCACTAGACCCTTGAACTTTTCTGAAACTTTTACTCTCCTAAAGATTCAACTTATTCCCCTTTTCTTTTCTTTTCTTTTCACCATCCCAAATAATCCCAAAACCCAAGTAGAATCCATTCTAGTCCTATCTGATCCGAAAAAATGCAAATCAGAACTACTCAAGACCCTATTCCTGTCGGCTCAAACCTAACACGTTCTCTTAAAGCTCAGAATTAAAACTTAAATTACACAGTCCCTTCTGTAATAAAAATCCGAAGGAAGGTTTAGGATCAAAAAGAAATTATAAAAATGCAAGGCTGTATTTACAAAGTTGAGGGTAATAGAATTACCTCTTGGGTGGTCCAAACCACGAGCTCATGACGTCGAGGCCTGCTGCTACATGCTTGTCTTGGACATTTTCAGCGTCGACTGCGAGGTGATAGGATGACCCGACCGGGCGTGATGAGCCGGCCCAATCGGGTGTGCGATCGGGTGAGGTGCTCGTGTAAGCTTCCGATTCCCTTCTGGTTCTGAACAGACTTCTCCTTGGATCAACTGAGGCTCTAGGCGGGCTAACTGGTAAGTTGGACTTGGTAGGTGTCCTGACTGATGCACTCCACCCAAACCGCTAGGCATAGCTGTAGTGGAGGTTGAGCATCCAACCTTATTCTGAAGCTCATTAATCTACTCCCCCATATCCTTAACTGTTCCGACAAGATCTTTCACCGTGTTCTTCATTGCCTTGATAGTCTTACTTTGGAACTTGTTCTACTTCTGAAGGATGCTAATCTTTTTATGAGCTTCCTTTACCCCCCTTGACTGCCTAGAGGACTCTTCCCACTCGTCAAAATAGAAATCCTCTTCTTGTTCTTCCCTAGCAGGTTCTTCTTCTCTGATTTCAGGTGCATAGGTTTGTTGGGCTGGCTCGAAGCTAGGAACTTGGTCTTGGACTGAGCTCGGGTCATATAACGCTGAGACGGGTGGCCAAAAGTCGATATTAGAACCCAATCTGATCTTTGTAAGCTCGGTGTTAGGCAACACCATTCTTGCTGCTCCAAGTGAAGGGTGGGTGAACTTATATAGATAAAACCCGTTGGGACGCTTGCTATCAAGGAAGTGCGTCTTTGTCAAGGTCTCAATGTAAATCCAGCGAGCGTTGTAGACTTTCCCTCGCAGTTCATTATCACAAGCCACCAATAACGGGGTGACTAGTCCACCAATACTGAGCTCTCCTTGCACACCTCTCCTAACAACTTTTAATACCCAATCCTTGCAATACATCAGTTGATCTAATAGAACCGAGACCATGCTACCGTCTGTTATATCTCCTACTAGTTCTCTACCATCCCTAGTACTTGGCAATACACCACTCAATGCTGTCATTCACATTCCCAGTTTCCTTTCTAGCAAAAATCATACTAGCTAAGGACTTATGGAAATACCTCACAGCTAGATTTTGGATTTGGGCGCTCTTGGATTTCGAAGAAGTGTATTCCTTCCCATCTCCAATTGTTTTCCAAACAGACTTGATCTCCTCTTTTAGCACATCTTGGCTCATTCTGCTTGCTTGCAAGAACCCATAGAGATTTTCAACTTCCTTAAACGTGAGAGAATAGGTAGTACCTCTCACGCTGAAAGTGATGTATCCAAAGCAGTCATCCGAATGAAACTCTGATTCATCCTCGTAAAAATGGAGCTGGAGTGAGGCTAACACGTAGCATGTCTCCTCGTCGTAGGCTTCCAAGGTTCTGGTTATGAATGAGCCGAGCCCGCTTCTCTCGAACAGAAACTCAACATCTCTTGCTATACGTCTCTTGTAATGTTAGGGATTACAAGTTTCTGGAAATGTTTGGTGGCTACAGAGTAAAACCCTAATGAACACTCGTCTTTGGCTTAATGACCTAAGAGGTCTATTTATACTAAAGGCAGGAAACCCTAAAACACAAAAAGAAAAATTACAAAGTCGGTTTAAAGAGAGCTTGGTCGGATGCTTGTCGGGCTCGTTCGGGTCCTCTCTCGGCTCATCCGTGTTCAGCTTCCTCTTGTGAGTCCGGGTGCTTGATCGTGCTTGCTTGGTCAGGCTGGACACACTCGATCGGGTCCATACTTTGCAGTGTCCGAGTGTACCTGTTTTTGCTCTAAAATGCAGATGATATGCAAATCCCTATGCTAAAGATCCTAGATGCAAAATATAATGCAAAGAGACTAGAAATCCTAAGAAGTAGAGAGAGGTTTGAAGGTGGGGACTCAGAACCAAAACTTGCTGCAAAAGAGTTTAACATCAATGTCCTAGTTCGTAATTCTAGAAAGCAATTCAAAGGCTGTACTGTGAAGACTTTAGCCATTCCTATTTCAACACAAGATGTCATCAACCACATAACCTAGACAAGCAATCAAGTCAGCCATCCTTTTAAACATTCATTAAGTAGCAACAGTGAATCTGGATGTGAATTTGAATTTAAACTCATTTGGCTAGGCAAGTAAAAGGTTAAGAGATAAATAGAGTCTCTTTTTGGTGAGGGTTTAATTGTTCAAGTGCTGGGATCTCTCTATGAACAAGATTGAGCTTTTGGGAGAATGTTAAAGGTAAGGGCCAACAAATGCATACATGAATAACATCTTGACTACCCAAAGTACCCAAGTGAAATCCTAATAGTCTAAAACCATATGATCCTACTCTACCCTTTAAGTCTTTTCAACCCAATTTCCCTTTTTGTTCTAAATCTTAGGAGAGTTTCTTATGATAAACTAGTGGATAGGGGGTTTTCTTTATAAACACTATGGTTCTCTTTCTTCTTAACACTTAAGGCATCAAAGCATTTTGCTATCTTCAGACTTTTCTCTCTTTCTTTTAAAAACCATAACCATTTCTTTTCTATATTTTGCATTCCCTACTTCTCTTTCACTAGACCCTTGAACTTTTCTGAAACTTATACTCTCCTAAAGACTCAACTTCTTCCCCTTTTCTTTTCTTTTCACCATCCCAAATAATCCCAAAACCCAAGTAGAATCCATCCTAGTCCTATATGATCCGAAAAAATGCAAATCAGAACTACTCAAGACCCTTTTCCTGTCGGCT